TTAATTTTTCTTAAAGGTAATATGTGTAAGTTTGAGAGGCAATAGGCAGTATGTTAAGATCGCAGATTATATTATCAGGATTAGCTTTGTAAAAAAAAAGGATTATGAAATATACCATTTGTTATGTACTGAGTTAATTAATTCATTGCTAATTGAGTTCTACTGTTGCACCAAAGATATTGTATGTGATTATGATTGCATAACACAGATAGAATGATTCTTGCAAATGCTGACCTACAACTTTTGTAATATAAAGTCAAGGACAAATGCAATGTCAACATCATGAGTAGGTTTTACTGGGTGTTCTCCATACTGGGTAACAGTATTCTCTTAGGTTGCCAATCAATGACCATTGTGAAAATCAGTATAAGAATATGATCTGTACTTACATTACAAAGTAACTGCAAAGAAAAAAGAAAATGGGGACTTCTATGGAATGAATGTTAGGTCTTGCATTTTGCATTCAAGATATCCGTGGTGTAGAATCTGATACAGTGTTTGATAAATACTTAACTTTTTAAAAGTAATTGATTATTCTCATGTATGTTTGATTTTATTTTTTGAAGAATATTGATGATCATTCATGATATTATTTTTTTTTTATCATCACTCTTAATAGAAGGAACTATTCATACTCATAATGGCAAAACTACCAATAATGATAATGTTATAATACTAACATTGTTAAGGAAATGATAATAAGGTATAATAAATAGAAGAAAGAACTGAGTGAGTTTCTGGCATTAAACAAGTGGGTTCTCAGATATAGTTAATGGTGAAAATGATATAGTTCATGGATAACTCTTATCCCATGAGGACCTGGATGAGGTATACTGACCATAACTTGGCATGTATATTGATGTTTAGGAAAGAAGGGGTAAGCAACAAGTGGGAAGGTGGCTGGAAAAGAGTAAGGCATACTGGAAAGATTGTTTTACACACACCCAAAATTCTGTGTCAGCATAGTAATTGTAATTGTAGTATGTCAATAACGAAAATGGTTACACCACCCATACAAAAAAAATATGCTTTTTTGAATAGAATAAGCATTGGCAAACATCACATTTTATGTTGCACAATAGACAGTTCAAGGCTAGTGTCGAGAGATTCTTATTTGACACACTTTGTACTTTCATATACTAATCAGATTCTTTTGCTAACTTTCACAGTGCAAAGTAAGTGTTAGTGAAGTGTCATGACATAATTATCATATTTAGACCCAGTTGCATCAATAGTAGTAGCAGATCTTGGCAACTTCAAATATTATGGTGTGACCCCAGATGCAGGGACCACCTGCCTATGTTGGTGACCTTTCATTTGACCCTGACTGTACATGACTGTGATCCTTATAGGGTATTGATAGATTGTGAATCAGAAAAGTATTTGTGTCAGATTAAAGTTATCCATAATGTTACTTACGTATTCATCATCTTGCATTTTTTGAGACTCAGAACTTTATTTCTGTAGTCTCAGTGCATTTCATTACAACTTGTCAGTTATTATAGGCTAATGATTCAGCCTGGAATGAAATTGAATGACAGTGGAAGTTTATAGAAGGAAATAAATTAAATGTATTAGCCATGTCCCTCATAATCAGAGGTACCACAATCTAATATACTTGATAAAGTTAGTACTTTAAATCAAAATTGGCTTTAACTGATGTTAAAATAAGTTAGTGTCCAATGGCATATTGATTCATCTAAGACTTAACAGTACCTCAGCAATATGAATTCTTTATTTTATGAACAATATTAAAGTCAGTATTAGAATACTAGATGCACTTATCATAGGCAATTCATTGTTTAGGAACCATGTAAATGTATCATATTAGATGTATGAATAATAGAGGCACTCATTATCAGAGGCAATGAGATATTTGAAAATATATATGTTAATGATTATGTTACTATATATAGTAAGGTACATACATACGGGAGATAGACTTATATAAAAAAGACTATAGATAGACAGATAAACAACATTTTATCACTGGTTAATTTTGGTTTGTAATTATGATGTTATTTGCAGTGTTTCCAATATTCACTTCAACCATATTTATGATTATCAAGTCTTTAATTTTTTTGCTTTTCTGATTTTACATCTTAATCTGATGACTTGAATATATTTACTATAGAATTTACAGCTTTGGATATAATTGTTTTTTGGTAAGCACTATTAATGAGCAAAGGGTAATCAGTGGAAGATCAGTTATATTATAGTCATTCATAATTTTTATATGATTATAGATGACAAGAAAAGTAGTCTGTGTGAAAGGTATTGGAACCTCATGATTTATATTATAATCCATAATTTTATTTTCTATATGTAGGGATTGATGTATAGTAGATATTTTCCTTATTATATTCGGCACTTAGATATAATATGTGAGTTTATATTTATATGTAAAACATATATTTTTTTGATGTGCATGATATTTTGTGGATGCACTTTTTAAATGTTGATAGAAAAGTCTTGTTCAGCACATGTGTATATTCACTGTAAGTTTGTTGATGAAGATAGCAGTTTCAGCAAGATAGTTTGATGATATTGACTCAGAGTGAAAGTAAAGATTCAGTTCATAAAGTCCCCATCTTTTCTCATTTACAAGAATTCCCAAGAAAATTACAATTGGCTAAGATGCAACCAGCTTCACGGGACGAACGAGTCAGTATCATCTCTCACGGTATGTGTCTCATGGGAAGTCAGTCCTCCGTGCTTCTGCTTACTAATCCAAAGGGTTTGAGTATGACATGGACCCGTAAACTTAGGTGTAATAGAGCATTGGATCTTGCCCATGGAGCATTTAACTCATTAATGCATTTGATGAATTGATCCTCAGGCATTTTATAGAGCACAGGATCATATCCCCTAAGGCATTAGAGAGCATTTGGAAGTTAACCACAGCATTGGAAGACTCGAGGGGTAATTTTTGTGTTATTGGATATAAGAACTTTTTGTTGTTTTTGTGGTGTTGTGTTTTACTTCACTTCACATCTTGTGTAAGGCATTATTTATGGATTTTTCTTCTTTGTAATATTTAGACCATACTTATTGATTAATTAAGAAAAGGTTTAGACTAACATGTTTGTAGTTTCACTTTTCAGTGTCACTTAATGAATATGAACACTTATAGAAAGCACAGATTGGCACTAAAAGTTTATGATGTTCATTATGTTCTTGTGCATATAGAAAGCACAGAGCATATAGAAGCCAACCTTTTGTAATGTATATGTTTAATTCTATACAACATATTATACTATTACAGATCCATTCACACAAGGACACAGATATTCACACAGATATTACACACATGTACAAACACACCTATGCACACACACAAACATGTATGCAAACACACACACACACACACACACACACACACACACACACACACACACACACACACACACACACACACAACACACACAACACACACACACACAACACACACACACACACACACACACATACACACACATACACACACACACACACATACACACACACACACACACACACACACACACACACACACACACACACACACACACACACACACACACACACACACACACACACACACACACACACACACACACACATATATAACATACAAACACACAAACAATTGGCCAGTTTATTAAGATTATGAGAGGTCCAACCCAGAGAATATTCATATAAAGGGACATGCATATACACAGATGTAAGCACATATCTATCTATCTAATAAGTATTGCATATTTAGACTGATGTATATGCATTTGTATCTGTGTATATGCATGCCTATGTATATGAGTATTCATTGGATAAAGCCTGTGTAGTTTTAACAAACCAACTAGATATCTTAACTGTAATACCGGTCACCAAACATTCTATTTCACATGAGATTTATCCCATTTTGTAAATAAGAGTCTGTTTGTAAAAAATATTCTGATACACAGATTGTGTACTCAGTTAGTCTCAACCTTTCCTTTTGTACTGTTTTTCATAGGCTGTGTAGCCATTACTTTTGATGCCATTAGACAGTATGAATGAGCTTCTGTTATAAACGTCCCCTTAAATAATCGGCTATGATAAGCATTCCCTGTTGTACAACAAAGACAACATAAGTTCTTTTACCTCTTGCCTTGCAGTGTAGGGAGGGTGATGGTGGTAGTGGTGAAGGCGGCTCTAGACAGTTGACTCCTTGTGAAGTGGTGCGGAGGAGACACCCCCTAAACTTCCCCCGCTCCCCCAGGCCTCCAAGGCATTCATACTATGAAGGTTCATCTCCCGATTCATACCTTTTAACGGCCGTTCTCATTCATTCTCTAAAGCATGGCTCAGGCAAGGTGTGTCAGGAGCCACATTGCAATGTATGCATCACCAGATTTGGGCAAAATCTAAGGGAAGCTTGTGGACTTGACCTCAGTATGATCAGTCAAAAGGGGGATCACTCACTTGATGCATCATTACCAACTGCACTGTATAGTCGATCCATCTCACAGGAGGGTAATGAAGTGAAGAACTGGAAACATGATAGGAAAGATTACCTTGACATATCCACAGACATGCAAGAACTCTCCCAGGTATCTCCTCTTAGCAGTCCTTCTAGCTCATTCCCCTATGCACAGATCAGTCCCCTACCAAGCCCACAGTCCTCCATAACAATGAGCTCAACCTTGACATCAAGAAATCCAACATTGTCTCTAACAACATGTGAAAGTTCCGCTCCATTGTTAGAGTCAGAGCTATCCTCTCTTGACATATCATCTCTAACTGATGTAACCATGTCCTCCAGCATGTTGTCAAACTCAACACTTTCTTTACAACAGTCTGAATGCTTACTGGCATCGGAAAGTAACATAACTTCTTCAGAACTGTCACTCATAACGGCAAGTGATTGTGGCACTCTAGTGGGATCGTTTCCTTCTGAAACATTCCCATCAGCAGCATGCTCTTCAGAAACAATATCTTCAGAAACATATCCATGTGACACTTACCCCAAGTGTCGTGAAAGTGGTGACCTGATGTCCAGCTCAGTGCATTCATTGCCCTCTCGCCTGACTCTTAAGGATCGTTCCTCGGCCTCTCTTCTGCGGCCTGTGCTGCTGTCCTCTGGATCTCTGGTTCTCCTACCCCGTCGCCCCTCTCTGGTATCCCCCCCTTCTGTCTCCTCTGCATCCTCACAGGGACACTTTAAATGGGAAGAGGTAGGTTCATAGCACCCGTCTGCCAGCATCATGCTTACCCTGTGTTCTTTGTTGAACAATATATTACCATAAGTCTCCTTTAGCATGACATATTTGATGATTTTATCCCTTGCTATATAAAGTTGTTTTCATTGATGGTATCAAGGTGTTTATGTAATTTTCTGAGCCTTGAATTTCTTCTTTTCTTCACCTACCTAAGAGCTGTTACATTTTCTTCCCACCTGACAAATATAAGAGCATTTATAAATCCATCATAACCTTTGTGTTTTTTGTATTTTCAAATGAAAATGGTCAATAACTGCATTGACATTATTACCTGTTTGTTTTGCACTCTCTCTTCATTGTATTTCCCAGATTGAAACATACACTCTGTTTATCTTCTTTTGTCTGTATTCTTCAGTACAATTTTCAGTAGCTTCCTCAGATCAGTATTTGTATGGACATTTTATTTTATGCAAGAAATTGTAAGTCAGATCGGAACATGTATATAAGTATTGATTAGGGATTTCTCATAACTCATTGCCATTGGGAACATGTAAGAACCACTGTAGTTTTGTTTTGTGTTTCCCAGTTTACACATAGAAGGCTCCACAAGTACTCAGCTGTCATGGAGTCAGATAGTAAGCCTATTGACCTTACTTGATTTCCCCTTTCCTTGAGATTTTTGGGAAAATCTTATCTTCTCATAGCAATATAGATATAAAAATGATATATGCAAAAATCAAGGAAAAGGTTGTACAAGTGAGGTAGGTATGATTAGTAGTTGACTCTTCGGTGATTAAGCACTTGTGTAATCTATGTTTAAATATGATTTATAGACTAAAATCAGTGGGCATGGCAAAAGTGAGTTAAGCAACTCTTTACAGTTATTTGCTTAAGAAAATAATAGGTCAAAAGTTCAATTTAAGACTGTCATGATTAGCTATTCAAAGATGAATAATACGGAAAAGTGGTCCACTCTTGTGTATAGTTCATTATTATGTGAAATTGAATGACAGGTCACTTGTGCCCTTCATGTTAACTGAAAGATCTTGAATTTCTCATTATTATGCATCTTGGTGTAGTTAAACATTTGATAAAGCCAACTAATATATATTTTTCAGAAAGTTATTACAATTATTTATGTAGATAGACTCTATCAGTGAGAAGATATTTGGCTCATTGATGATTTGGAATGTATGATCTAACAAGTGCTTTAATGATTTTTGACAAGTATATTGTACCAGGTCTCTATTTTCAGTGATGAGTGATCTGATATATTTCATATATCTTTCTCTATTTTTGTGTGAACTCCCCTTTGATATTGCTTAATATGCTGGAAGGAAAGCATGCCTCTGGAGAAGTGGTAAACTAATATTGCATGTATTGGCAGATCTAATTGTGTTTCATTGACAAAACAGGGAAAGATTGATTTACATGGATGTAGCCACAGCGCAAACTTATTAATGGATCTCAAGATATCTTTAGTACCATTTTATAATAGAAAAAACAGATATCTTATCAAGTTTTACCAAATACAGTACCTTTTCACTGAGATGATAATTTAAGTGGACAAGCATTTTTCTGATGGATATTGATGACTTGCATATCAGAACTAAAAGAAATACAGGGTAGCGCATTGCCAAGAAACTCCAGCATTTCTGCATTGTTAGATGCAACCAAGAAGTAGAACAGTTTGTGATAAGATGCAAAATGAACCTCCTGACCAAAATCCATTGCAGAGGAAGCTGTTGTTAGCTACCATCCAGTTATGTATATTAGGACTCTTTTCAGAATAATTTTTATGTACAGTTGGGAATTAACGTTCACATTGTTTTTCATGATCATTATTTGAAATGTATTCATGAATGTTTAGGTATTGGATAGTACATTTTCTAGTTCTTTAAATTTTACTTACATTTTGAATTGATTATAGGTAAACATTTATTTATTTTGTTATTTCTAAGGATAGAAAAACACACACATTAGTTAAAACACACTAGTAATTTCTCTCTCTTACTCCCAGACACTACTTGTACTTTATACAGAGTGTAGTGATTTGTAAAGTAGAAAAAGTCCTCTAAGGCTCAGGTATGTTTTGGTTTGTATTTTGAGATGTGTAATTCATGACTCTTGCAATTCGTACAGATTGAATATTTGTCTCACTTTCTTTTTTCGGTAGTTTTACCTTGAAGCTAATTGCACCAACCACCATGACATTTCTTTTTTTTCTTCTTCTTCTTCTTTTTTTTTTTTTTCTTTTTTTTTGCATGTTCCCTATTCCTTTGTGAAACATTTACAAAGCATGTAAATTTACACTCTGTTGCCT